GCTTCATTACTTGTCAATATTTCTACATTAATTTGAAAGACTGCATGGCAGCAGAGATGCTGTGTGGGGGTAGGGCTCTCTGTGCAGGTATGGAGGGAGCTCTGGGGGTGGAGAAGTGGCACACAATGGAGACAAGGACACGGGAAGGAGACATGTGTTGGTGGAAGGAGGAGAAATGAGAAAAAAATGAGGAAATTGGAGCAGAATGAAGGATGGGAGGGTTGAAAAACTGAACAGAGCGACTGTGTCTTGTCCATTAATGGTTCTCATAGTGAGTTAACTCAAAAATCTCTGAACGCTTTGTTCATTTGTTCGGGATAAGAGCTGAAGTCAGCAGGTTTCATCATCATAATAATGGTAGTTTGAAGAGCTCCTGCAGGAGAATCCATCACCTCCTGCTATTACACCACTGCTCAGGAGTAGGTGAAGGGCTGTGATTCATGACAGCAGAAGTGCTGTGTTGTTATTTCAACACAGACACATCACACACCTGACTCCAATCCGGAAGCTGTAACCTCATACCCGCTAGTAAAAGACTTCCGATATATGAAAGCCGACAATAAAAATGACGACCTGTTCAATAACCATCTTCTCATCTACAGCCCTGACATCTGACTGAATGACCCTTCACCTCTCACCCCTCAAATCTGACCCCTTTCTACAGCAGCAAACGTGTAAAAGATTGACCTTTTGTACAGGTGACTCACCGTCAAATATTTAGTCCTAAATGAAAAAAACCAGAACAGGCAAATGTCAAATTCGAGCCGTTTTTAAAGAAAATCTAATTTTCAATACTAATATGAGGGGGCTTAGCTGCAACTGAACAATGGAGCAACAACATTAAACTATGAATGCAGACTAACTGCAGTTGCAGGTTTAAAGTTACATGTAGTTCCATAGTTTTTAATATGAAAAACAGATTTCCACTATGTGACACACTCAAACTAATTAATCTCACTTAAATAATGTATGTACGTCTCTATTTTATTATATAAAAAAGTCTCTTATTTGTCAATCACAGATACACATATTATGCTATGATTATAATAAAATAGAATAAATTAAAAAATATTTACATGCAATATTAAACATTTAACTTCAATTTTATAAACACAGCAATATAATAACCCAGCTACCAGTCTTCAGAATCATTGACCTTCTTTATTCTGAGCCTTATTTTTATTTATTAACAGGGTTCGTCTTCCATACAGTGAGAACTTAACCAACATTTTATTCCAAATACTCTTTCGTTTGTTGTTCCTCAACCTGCCTTCTCGTCTCGCAGGTTTCTCTCACATATTATTTAAATCAAACTTTTTTCCTGATTTAATTTCGTACCGACTGCATCACAGAGCACACCATCAATATGCAACTCCTTGGTAACCAATTAGTTTCACTCATGTTGCACCTGTGCAACTCAATAGAAAGAACAATTCAATCATGTGTTAAGTATAAATGACCCTTGGGAGAACTGTGTACACACACACACAAACGTGTTAGGTGTCCATGTGTGTGTATTTGGTGTGGTCCTCTAACACTACAGGCACCGGCAGCAGAATCTACTTTCCTCATTTTAGTTGAACGAACATTTTCTATCGCCCATGATCATGCATTTTTCTTTTAAGGTCTCTTTAAAAAGTATTTTTAAGGTAGTCATGTTGAGTTCATTTGATTTGGAGATTTGTCAAAATACGGTATTATATTATTGCCTCATAGTGATGTAATAAAATGATCCAAAATACACAAAGTATATATTTTATATCAACAGTCCAACAAACTGAATTGATAAATATAACAAAATGTCTGGGCCTAGATGAACCGAGAAAAATAAAATTAAATAGAAAAAAAAAAACAAGAATAAATGTGATTTTGGTACTGAGTGAAAATAAAAAAATGAAGACTAAAGATATATAAAACTAACATATATTTGGATCTGCTGAGAGCGTTACTTGCTTGTCCTGGACCTTAAGCAAATTAACTGTGGCTCCAAATGATTTTTTTATATTATGTATTGCATTAATTATATCATGAGAAAGACAATCAAAACATATTGATTCATGAAAGCGAACATCAATTTCTATCTCCTTAAACAGGATCCTCACTGGGAAGTTAACCCAGTCACTACTTTAACAAACCTCTCATAAAGTTAAACACGCCCGGAGGTGTGGGCTGAAACCCATTCCGGCTTCAGAGACGTAAAAAGACGCCTTAAGACACATGTTAGTTAATCTATGGTATTTAGTTAACATTAAAATAAGTTATTCATAACTTATTTTGCCTCAGTGTTTAACAAAAATTACATTTATATTTATATGAAAACGCTGTATAAATATTTGCCAACTCAACATTCTAGTGTTCTACTGCATTTTACTAGGCATGTTTACTTTTCTGAAGATAGTCTCCTGTGAGTGGATGAAAATGCTGCACACACAGGCCGTGACACGCTTGTCGTTTTGACACGACGACCTCTTCTTTCGCTTCAGTTTGTTTTCAAATCCGTCACCTATTTCTAACAGACTTATTACAGAACATTTTAAAAGGCTGAGGGCTGAGTATTGAGTGTGTGTTGCTTCAGTGAATATTTCAGCCTACAGGAATTCTTTGAAGTAATGGTCTGCTAAGTAACTTCACTGCATTGAGCTCAATAGTTCCTCCACACTGCGAATAGAAATGATTTTTTTCCTCCCCCCTCTTTTGCACGCTTTCCTAAAAAATCGTCTGTGCCACCACGCTTGTTTGGAAGTGAGGAATATTTGCATCGTTCGTTGCAGACGCAAAGGTGTGTGTGTGTGCGTCCAGATTTTTCAGCTCTCCTGCTATCTAATGGGTTATTTGTCATCTGCAGAGTAAAGGATTTTTAAAAGTCAAGCCAGTACTGACTCCCTCCCTATCCTTTCTCTCAGCCTCCCTCTCTTTCCCACTACCCCCCTGACACTTGCAATGGGAGATCGATAGGTTATTGATCAACTCTCTCTATCGCCAACCCACCAGACTAATCACCTTAACACCAGCCCAACTCTCTTCCTCTCCTTCAGAGAGCAGAGAGCAATCCCTGTTGCTCTCTGCTCGTGTCCCTGGCTCTGTTGCTCCGTCTCACACTCGGGCTCAGGGTAAACATCACTTTTTCTCCATTTGCAGCTCAAACCTGGCTTGATGAGTGTTTTCCTTCACTCTGAGGTAAACACACACACTTGCAGAGTACTTAACCTTATCCCCGTGTTCACTTCCCATCCTCTCCTATCCTTTTCTGTGTGTCAATAATTACCAATCAGAATCTACGTGGCTGTACATTAGATAACACAGGAATATTTTACCCCTGTGCCGAGTGCTCTTTATCTTTCTCTCATTTCTCTGGTTCCTCTCTCCTCGGCCACCCTCCCTCCATTTCTCTATGTCTGTCTTTGTTCCAGGGTGAAATCGATGGAGTGTATGAAACAAGCATATTTCTCTGCCTCCTGCTGGAGGAGACCGGAGGGAAGCAAACACAGAGAAGTGGGTTTACAATGAGCCTGTACATTTCTATTTGTCATTTTAATGCCCTTTTTTAGGTTTAAAGACAATTTTCTTAAGCACAGGAAGCGAGAGATATAAATGTTGTTAAACCTTACAGGCCAGAAATCTCACCTTTGGGTGGAGGTGCTATTTGTCTGCCCAGATCTAAATTGAGGGACAATAAAGTCAAATTTCCAATTTTAATATTTCAATTAAACACCGTCTGTCCTCGACTCAGCCCATAATCTATTTTTTGTTGCGTTAACGTTAAAAAGCGAGGGAAACTTAACCACATTTCTGAACATATTAACATTTGGAACGTCCTTATTACTAGCGCAGAAGTGTCAAACTCAATCATACAAAGCCATGAAATTTAAAATGCAGTCCAAGTTGTGGGCCAAACAGGGTTAACATCTATTGACTATTGCATCGTCTGGATGTGGGTCACAAAATCTCCGTAAAAGAATCCAACAGCACCAACACTGAGAAAAAAACCCAATTTTGTTCAGGAACAGTCCAAAGACACCTACAGGTCAGGATTGTGGGTTTCTTTTTCTTTCTTGTCGATCCAAACCGAGCAAATAAAGTCCAATGCATCCCTTTTGGGTACTGGCAGCACTTGGTTTTCCAGTGGCTGAGTTGATTTATAATCTGTTGCTTTACCTCTGTACGGGGAAGATAAGGGTTTCTTCTTATAACCTTTAAATGCAGTGAATGATGTGATGAAAAACAGATAATGCCTGCAGGAGGAGC